CTCTCTTTCTTTTCTCCTTTTTTCTTTTTCTTCTCCTTCCTCCTTTATTCTATTCCTTTCTTGTTTTTCCGCTCTTCTCTTTTCTTTTCTCTCTTCTCTTATTTTCATTCTTTTTTTTCTTGTCTTTTCGCTTTTCCCTTTCTTCTTTCCCTTTCTTTGTTTTCTTTTCTTTACTCGGTTACGGTCGAATCCTATGGAAATTATCTACGTATCGTGACCCCGCACGAATCACACCAGGTGTAGTTCGTGAAAATAAGTGACAAAATAAAGGAACAATTTTTGGGATTTTCAAGTTTTTCATTACCACAACATTCTATTACAAACTATACATTTTGAAATGGAAAATAATAGACTCCAACTAAACTCAAATACATACTCCGAACATACTAGCATACTTGGACGCAAAAAGAAAACAGACTGACAAACAATAAACTCTAAAATGGAAAATACAGACTCGATCTATGAATACGTTAGTGCTTCAAAAGTGGGTGCCTGCGGGGCATCGTTCGGCCTCGCCGCGGGCTTAGGTGTCAAATCCCTTTCATNTCAGACTAGCAATGGTCTTTTCATAATCCTTCTTTAATTGTTGCATGTAATGGGTGCGCTCTTCCGTTCTCTTTACCCACTGTGCCCGGAGTCCCGCTATGGTGCCTTCGGATTTTTTCAGCTCATCCCAGCACTCACTAATTTCCTTTTTTAGCCCCTTTATCAATCGCTCGTCCGACCGGCTCCTTTGTTGGTTATTGGCAGCTATCCTCATTTGCTGGATTTGGGCTCTAAGTGCCTCGTTTTCTTGGGCCAACCTGTTCTTTTCTCCCTGATCAGCAGCAACTTGCACATTGTTCTCAAATTTCAGAGCTTCAATCTGTTGTTTCAGCTTACCGATTCCAGCCTGATAGCCTTCTTCTTTTGCTAGCCAACCCCATTGTTCTTGTGATGATTCAGTGAAATCCTGGATGTGGGGTCTTTTAGCTGGCCTCTGATGCTCAAGTTCTCTTCTGTACCATGCGAGGTATTCTGGCGACATTTCTCCTTTGGCCCGATCCTGCACACAAGTATCTGCTTGTAGATATTGACATTCATTCCAAATCTCGCGGACTTTTGCTTCGGGAAACTGTCCGTTAGGGCTAATCTCAATTACTTGAGCACTAAGATCTTCCTCCCGTGGCACTGTTTGGCATCTCCCGAGTTGTCTCAGAACCCGACATGGAGCATAAGGCTGGATGCTCTTAAGTCCCATCAAAAGAAAATGCGACCTAGCTGCTGGCATGTATATGATTTCTTCAACAGGCAACCATCCCAACGTCCACTGTATCTGACTGTCCGTGAGAGTACGAAAGTATGATATCCATGCTGTTACTCCTTCAGGCAGACTAACCCCATCAATCCTTGTGTAAATCTCTCCTATACAGGTTTTGTCAGACGAACCATAACTCAAGGGCCGGGAACGGTGGCATAGATGCTCGGTCATCCACATTTGTAGCAACAAGTTACACCTCTCAAAAAGGTTGCCTCCAGCTTTGCAGGCAGTGAGAGCTCGGAAAATGTCACACACGATCATAGACGCAAGAGTGCTTTCATCTTGAGTAAGCAAGGTACTGACGACCCCGGCTACTTTTATATAAATATTCTCGTCTTTCCTTGGGAACACCAAGAGGCCCAAAAAGGTTATCATGAAAGCCACCCGTCTGTGCTCATCCCATTTTTGACGATTATTTTTACTGCATAGCTTGATGTCCGTCTTGTTAAACCCTCCCACGTGGTCGTACCTGTCATATATGAAGCGCAGAGTGCAGAAGCCTTTTGCCAAATCTGGATTATGGACTATCCCGGGTATCTTCAATGAATCTAAAAACCGATGCACCGTGATGGCTCTTGGAGCAACCTGATATTTTTCTCTTAACAGAACCTCAGCATTTCCGATGTACCCAGCTATTTCCTCCAGAGTTGGGGTGAGCTCAAAATCTGAGAAGTGGAAGACATTGTGCGTCGGGTCCCAGCATGTGACCAACGTTCTTATAATATCACCCCGAGGCTTGATTTCCAATAAACCCGTAAGACCTTTCAGATATTTCTTGACTTCGTCTTGTCCTTCTTTGCCTAAATCGTTCCACCATAGCCGCAACTCGAAAGGGATTTTAGTCATTATTGAGAAAGGTTCGTTTTGCATCGTGCTCATCCGGCACATTTATTAAAGTGATTTAAGCAAAAACAAAACTTTTATTTGACTCAAACAAAATTAAGTATTTCCTTTTCCAAACTTAAAATGAAAGACTGGGTTTTTGAACACGCCCTTTCAGCACTCCCAAGGACGACGATTTTAAGGCTGTGAGAGTCAACCGGTCAAAAATCAAAATTGACCAAAAATGACCATCTTTGCAAAGTCAACCTTCCGGCGTCCCTTTCGGGAACATTCGGCTATTTTAGACAAAAACGACATCACCTAACTTATTTATGACTCTTTTTCTCGTTTTTCAAATTAAAATAAAGATCTGATATTGCAAACACGACCTTTCAACGCCTCGGGGACGACAATTTTAAGGCTGTGTGGGTCAATCGACAAAAAATCTAAAAATGACTAAAGATGGCCGTTTATGCAAAGTCAGCCTTTCGGCGTCCCTTTCGGGAACATTTGGCTATTTTTGACAAAACGGCGTTACCCGACTTATTTATGACGAAAATTAAAATTTAGATATTTTTTTTTGCTATTTTTGCAAAGGGGAGGTTGGACCCGATGAAGGTTGCCTATGTATCTCACGCCCTGTGAGAATCAAACATGCATAGTTCGGGCAAAGAAACTAACTATATTTTGAAGTTCTTTTCATTTTCCACGGCAAGACAAACTATTTTTCCTTTTTCTATTTTTGAAAACAAGACAAAATAACGACTCTCCTTTTCTTTTTCATTTTCAACAAACAATAAACAACCTATTTTTCCCAAACTAAAACAAAGACTCTTTTTCTTTTCTTTTTCAACAAACAACTTTCCAAAAATAAAAGACTCTTTTTCTATTTTTCCTTTGCTTTTTAGTAAAACAAACTATTAAAAATAAAACATTTTCCTTTTTCCATTTTCTCAAAATTTCGGCAGAGTTTCGACAGTTTTGGTTTTTCTAAAATAATCAATTAACCCCCTAACTGTTATTTCTCTCTTTTTCTCTTTTCCTCTTTTTCTCAATTTTCCAACATTCCCGAGATTCAAAAGTCGGTTAACATGTTAGTTCGAAACAAATATATATACAGAACAAGTAGGATGTATCAGGATGGTCTTTTCATTTCAGGTTCCTAGCCCTAGACGGACCCAGCCTCTATGTTGAGTCCCCTAAGTCAAATGCAGCATGATGCAATTAAGCGCTCCTACTAGGGATCCGGCATGAAGTCAAGTTATTCTAGGTTCAAAACCTGGGTATGTGTTCTAAACAATGCACCTGAGCGGACAACTCGAGTCGAGGAGGGGGCAGCATAGCGGGGACCCGTGAGATCGTCCGGCTTTGAAACTTATCCGAGCCTCTTTTTTATTTCAGGGTATGACACTAACAGAATATGGAGTCTCAACCAGTAAGCACATCCCCGGAGGTGAAGAGAGAAGGGTGTCGACACAGTTTATATACAGTTCAAATGATATCAAAGCGGTAACATTTAGCATATTCAGCACAGAATATGTAGGAAAATCAGATATAACCAAATACAACAATTTATCTAAGCTCGAATTCTGAACCCTGAACCAGAGATTCTGAGTTCGTTCCCCAGCAGAGTCGCCAGAGCTGTCACACCTCCTTTTTCACCTACACCCGCAAGGGCATAAATGAGTTTTTCCAATTAAAGGACAATCGGAACGGGATTTAGTTATTAATTATTCAGAGTCGCCACTTGGGAGATTAATGGTGTCCCAAGTCACCGGTTGAATCCCGAACCGAGGAAAAATATGACTCTGCATTACAGTCCGCGAATCAGAAATCCGGATAAGGAATTCTGTTAACCCGAGAGAAGGTGTTATGCATTCCCGGGTTCTGTCGTTCTAGCACGGTCGCTCAACTGTTGTATTTGATTTTATCAGATTTTGATACATGCTAGCCTATGTGCCTTTTATTCACAAACCGCTTTTATTATTTTTTTAAAAGAATTGCAACATCGCGATAATGCGTCTCGAACCACGTCGCAATCAATGCGCCCGTGATTGTTAACACAGTTGACTATGTTGAGATTTGGAATTGAGTCGCATCAATGCGCGCCCGAGTTTAGGAAAGTAATTTAATTAAATCACGCCTAAAGAGTCTAAGGCATTCTTATTTTGGGGAAGACCGTGAAATCCACTAAATGGCCCTCCGAATTCTAAGTATTTTAGTTCAACCATTTATTGCGAGCCCCGCGATTGTGCATTATATTTGGCGGGGCTCGTCTCATTTATTATTTAAAAGGAAAACCTAAAAGCAACTATGATTCTCTATTTTTATTGTCTCTAAAATAATCCCTTAATTAATTAATAAACCAAAGCCCTATTTATGAGAAAGGTTGCTCCAATATATGGGCCTACAGGGATGCTATAGTCCCAACGCAATAGAGGGACCAAGTCACCTTTGCAAACGCAGACCAACGAACCCAGGGTCGAGCCTGGAAGGAAACAATGCGGCATTCACACGAATCTAAGCAGCCCAATCACTCCCAAAACAAACCAGCTAATTTTCATGCAAGTCAACAATCCAAAGACAGGTGACAAATTGTCCTATTCATTTATTCATTATTGAGCTTCTAAGTGTTACTAAAGGTAAAATCCAATTAAGAACAATTGTAGTAGTAGTTCAACCGTATGACATTAATTCAAATTAACAAGACTAAACCAACACTCAACTTTCAGGTGATCTCATGATTTTGGGACCTGGATTTAGCAGTGGAAACATGAAACCATTTTGGACCTGTTTTCTGCGACTACCTGAACTAGATCAACATTTAACTCATATGGGAATCTGGAAAATAACAGCATTTCTTAGATATACAAACATGTAATTAGTAGTTCAACCAAGCAGATTTATGTTTAATAGTCTATCAGTCAATATAGTCCAGAACCTATCCAAACGATACACATGTTTTGTATAAACGTGACTGTTTCATCTTAATACTAAACAGAAACCAAGCAAACTCAGCAATTAACTCAAGCTCTTCATCATTCAGCCTCCAAATCAGAAAATTACATGGATCCTTCGCAATTCAGACGAGGCCAAGGATAATACCTGAAAATTGCAAATAAGAAGGGAGAAGAGGTCAGCTATGGCAGTAATGCAGCAGCAATGTACAACGACCCACAGTGTTGAACAATCAAGGAGCATATGATCAAAAGAACAGTCCAGCAATGAATTCAACAATCCAGAAGTGTTTGAAATCGAACAGGAATAACAGATCAAACCGAAACAGACTCGAATAAACCCAAACGACATCGGAATTAAACTCAAAATACTTCTAAAACTTCAACAGAGCAAAACTCAAACAAAAACCAACTTAATTAGCCCCAAAATCACTCGAAATGAACTTCTGAACTTCAGCAATCAAAGATCAAACTTAAGAATGTGAATCAATAACTAAAACTTGAAGCTAACCTAAGGTTTAACAATGGAACAATAGTTTTTTTTTTGGATTTTTGAAGGTTTTCTAGTGTTTTTGGTTTTTGAATATTGAATTTCAAATTCAGATCTGGAAAACTAGAGAGAACTTTTTTGGGGGGAATTTTTGGGGTTCCAACCTCCTCCATTAAGGCACTTAGGCATGCCTTTTATAGGCAGAGCTGAGGGCAGCCCTTATTTTTTGTTTTCTATGTCAGTCCCTATCTATTTATTCAATTAGTCCCTTATTTCTTAGCTTGTGACTCAAGTTAGCACCTTACAATTACTGAAAACCAACACTTGACCCTATTCTAGAAGATTCTGGGGCCTTCTATTCTAACCTACAACTTTCATGTCCAATTTCAATTACCTAAACTGCCCCTGAACTTAAACTGAAATCGCAGCTATAACCAAACAAGTTCATATGCTTGATTTACCAGTTATTGAGGAACAAATCCAAATTAACTCTTAACCATCAAAGTAAAAATTAACATAGCTATACCTAAACAATTATCTAACTACATTTAACTAAACTAAGCCTAAACTACAAAATCAAGATTAACAGATTTAAACTATCAAAACATAAAAACACACAGCATGCAAAACAGAACATAAACTAAATGAATCTCTAAATGCATTCAAACAAATTTACTAAATCAATTAACAAGTTTAAACTAATCGACGAACTAAACTAAAGGCTAAACCAAAATCAGATGGGTATGGAACAAGTGAAAACAGAATTAAAGAAGATTCTGTTGATTTTCAGATTATCATTTATTATTAACAAAATAAAACTACAATATTACCAAAAAGAAAAGAAAAAGGGAAAACAATAGCGGGGAACTTACTGGCCATTTCAGATTTACAAATCGGCCAATTCCAAAAGGATTTGAACGCCGTCGACCTTGAATTCATCATGAGGGAACCCCAGGGACCGTATGGTATCGATTTGGTAGGGATTGGAGCAATTAGGGTTTCGGTCAGACTTCGATTGAAGATTCGAAACAAACGGGGAACATTCGAAGTGAAATGGGCATGGATTCGTGATGTAGGGAGGGAGGTGAACACCTGGTGTGAATTTGATGTTATTTGGACGAGGTGGTGTCATGGCCGGAAAACCTTCAATCGAAGATTCGAAGGGTTCAGGTAAGATTCGAAGGAAAAGGCCGATGGATTTGGACAGAGGAGGAGAAGGGGAAGTTGGGGTGTGAATTTCGTGGTGATTGGCGTCGGCGCCGCCATTGCCGGCGTCGGAGAAATCAGGGCGGCGCAATTAGGATTCGTGAGAGAGAGAAAGCTTGAGGAAGATGATGGGGTCCGAGAGAGGGGGGGTCTTTAGGACAGTTATATATTAAATGGGGTGTGCTTTTGGACCGTCTGATCAATCAACCTCGACGGTCCAGATTAACTGGGAACGAAACGACGTCGTTTCGAGGGCAAGAGGGGCGGATCGGGTAGAGGGACGGGTTTGGGCCGATTTCTGGGGTGTGTTTGGTCTGATTGTTTTTTTTTTTTCTTTGAGCTAGGTGAATTTAATTGAAATGGTCCAATTGTGAGCAGCCCTCTTTTATTTATTCCCCCTTTTTTTTGTTCTTTTTATTTATTTTACTCATTTTTCATTTTGTATTTTTGTTTTATTTTTCCCTAATTTTATAAGGATGCACAATCAAAAATAAAAATCCTAATAGATGTCAAAGCTAAATTAATTAAATTCTAAAATTATTTAAAACCTATTTCACGGCAAATTCACAATTAAAATGATTAAAATGCAAAGTGGACTATTTTTGTGATTTTTATATTTTGTTCCAAAACAAATTAACCCCTAATTAATCCTAAAATATGAACTTATATCCTAAATGCATATTTTTGTATTTTCATATGAATTAACATGCACAAATAAAATGCAAACAACTATCAGAAAGTGACACCAAAATTCACAAAAATTGTAAAAATAAAGAAATTTTTTTGTTTGAATTTTTGGGAATAATTAGCTTAGGGCAAAAATCACGTGCTCACGGGAATATAGGAGACGTCAGGGCCTGCGGACGCCTGCAGGTCTACCTTGGACTGAAGGTAGCCTCCACACTACGGTCCAAAAGCTGCTCCGGGATCTGCACATAGTGCAGAGTCTAGTATCAGCACAACCGACCCCATGTTCTTGTAAGTGTCTAGCCTAACCTCGGCGAAGTAGTGACGAGACTAGGACCAGACTACCAAATAAACCTATGCAGTTACTTAATATATAGCGGAAAGTAAAGCAGAATAAACAAATAAAGGTGGGAAGGGGAAACATACTTCGGGGAAAACAGGTAAAACAGAATATCAAGAGAATTATAAAGGAATCAAAATCCAACCACTAACAAGAATAAGGAAAACAAAGGCAGATTTCACTTTCTTTTCACCTCTTGTTGCAGGCGTGCAACCCAATCTCATTTCCTGTATCTCGTGGCAGGCGTGCAACCCGCTCCTATTTCATTTATCCGTGGTAGGCGTGCCACCCGCTCCCATTTCATTTATCTCATGGCAGGCGTGCCACTAGCTTCCATTTCATTTATTTCGTGATAGGCGTACCACCCGCTCCCATTTCATTTATCTTGTGGTAGGCGTACAACCCGCTCCCATTTCATTATATCTTGTTGTAGGCGTACCACCCGCTCCCATTTCATTATATCTTGTGGTAAGCGTACCACCCGCTCCCATTTCATTATATCTTGTGGTAGGCGTGCCACCCACTCCCATTTCATTATATCTTGTGGTAGGTACCACCCACTCCCATTTACAAGCTAACAATGATCACAAGGAATCCCGGCAAGGGAACAAGAGTAATATAACAACTTCCCCGCAAGGGAACAATGATATTTCAACAACATCCTGCCAAGGGAACAATACTATCCAAACAAACATCCCGGTAAGGGATCATTAATATCAAACAAATATTCCGACAAGGGAACAATGGTGATAATAACATATGAAGCGCAATAAACCACAACAGAGTCATAACAATTATAATACAAGACTCACGGGCATGCTTGACATGAACGTATAGATACTCGTCACCATGACTATACGTCGTACTCCACAATTAACATGTAGCAAATAAGACAAAACACTTAATCCCTCAAGCTAAGGTTAGACCAAACACTTACCTCGATGCCACGAACACAATTCACGATACAACTATAGCTTTACCCCTTGATTCCACCACCAATTCGCTTGTGTCTAGTCACAAGTTACATAATTACGTCAATAAACACTAAATGAATCAACCCCAATACATGAAAATGAGTTTTCTAAAGTTTTACCCAAAAAGTCAAAAATCGCCCCTGGGCCCACATGGTCAAAACCCGAGGTTCGAACCAAAACCCGATTACTCATTCCCCCACGAACCCAAATACATAATTTGTTTTGAAATCGGACCTCAAATCGAGTTTCAAATCCCCAATTTTTTAAAAATACCTAGGTTTTACCCAAAACACCCAATTTCCCCTATGAAAATTATTGATTTTGAGTTGAAATCATGTGAAAAGATGTTAATGATTGAAAAAAACGAGTTAGAAATCACTTACCAATGTTTTGGAGAAGAAAAGTTATTTGAAAAATCGTCTCTTATGTTTTTTGGGTTTTGAAAAATGAAAAATAACTAAAAATCTCATCTTAGTATACCCCTCTCAGACCCTCTGTGCGAACCGCACAAAATCAACTGCGGCCGCACAGCCTCTCAGACTCCCTGTGCGGACCACACAAAAATCAAATGCGGCCGCACAGTCACCAGTGAACCTGTGCGGACAGCACAAGATCCACTGCGGCCGCAGAGCCACCAGTGCGGACATCACAAAACCAGTGCGGACCGCACTAGCAGGTTTAGAGAGCTGCAGTTTTTCTGAACCTCCTATAGCCATATTTAAGCCTAAGACACCACGAAACCTACCCAAAACTCACCCGAGCCCTCGGGGCTCCAACCAAATATACACACAACCTCAAAAATATCATATGGACCTACTCGTGCGATCACATCATCAAAATAACATGTAAAATCATGAATTAAACCTCAAAAGTCAACATTTTCATCAAGAACCCTCAAAGTTTATAACTCTCCAACCGGAAGTCCAACACACGTCAAATAAACTCCGTTGTTCACCAAACTTTACATACAACATATATAAATCATATCAAACCTGTATCGGGCTCCGGAACCATAATACGGGCCCGATACCACAGGTTTCACATAACATTTCACTTTCAAAAATCTTTATATTTTTCAGAAAACAATTTCTTTCAAAAATTCATTTCTTGGGCTTGGGACCTCAGAATTTGTTTCCCGGCATACGCCCAAGTCCCATATTTTACTACGGACCTCCTGGGATCGTCAGAACACGGATCCCGGTTCATTTGCTAACAATTTTGACCAAAGTCAACCATAATCAATTTTTTTAACTCAAAAATTTCTATTTCTCATATTTTCACATAGAAGGCTTTCCGGATATAGGTACGGACCACGGACATAAATCAAGGTGAGGTAAAAGGGAGGTTTTTAGGCCTCAAAACACTAAATTCACTTGCAACACAAGTGAGTCATCACATGTGGATACCAACTCTAATGACCATGACATGCACTTTTGGATTAAGTGGCCTAATCTGTCAAGCAAGTCTAATATTCAACTCTTGTTGTACCTCTTCGCCGTGAAACTAGGTTTCAATGCTCCGATTATCCTATCTTATTCATGATCCTTATTCGACTTGTAGTGCCCAATGGATTTTAACCATCAATCCTCTCTCATTTTGTTTTTTCTCTCAACTCACCGTCGTCTTTTGGTACCTGTGAAGGTTTTCACCAATAGGACTCTCTCATTTTGTTCTTTTCTTCTTATTTCCTTTGATTTTGCAAATGACAAGGCATTAACCATTGCAAAAATATGATATGCTCTTGGCATGTCTAAACTCAACACTCTCAAACATTATCTGGGAGGTCTTTTTTGGACTGTAATATGGCTTTTGGACAGGGTTAGAAAGAAGAGATATCATAAAGGCTCAAAATAACTAAGATAACATAGTTAATTTATTTACAACTTTTGAAATCCATTTAAAAACTTTGCCCCAATTTCTAAAACAGGAGAATTTGATTCTAAGAGAAACCGCCCTCCTCTTGACTTTATGGGATTATGAGATATTTTATTTGGTGTGACCGAACCGTAAGGCTTCCTACATATCTTGTGGTGACAAGAATCAGGTCGAACGTAGCTCACAACTAATTCTTGTTTTGTTTTTTTGTTGCTATTTTTTTTCTTTTTTTTTCTTTTCTTTTTTCTTTTCTTTTTGTTCTTTATCTCTCTCTTTTTTTTCTTTTTGAAATTTTCTTTTGGAATGCATTTTCTAAAACAAATCTATGGGAACTGTTACACCTCCTTTTTCTACCCAAAAGGGTATAAGAGAGTTTTTTCAATTAAAGGGACAAAACTGAAACGAGATTATTTATTCAAATTCAGAGTCGCCACTTGGGATAATTATTGGTGTCCCAAGTCACCAGTTTAAAATTCCGAATCGAGGAAGTTTGACACTGTTTTATACTCCGCGAAATACAGAAATCGGGGTAATGAATTTTGTTAACACGAGAGAAGGTGTTAGGCATTCTCGGGTTCCTTGGTTTTAGCACAGTCACTCAACTATTACTATTGGCCTAGTTATCTGATTAATTACACATTTTAAACCTACGTGCATCTTTCACTTTCCGACCTCTTTTAATGTTTTTTTAAGAAAATTCGTGATCATCATACACTTGTTTGTTTTTGAAAACACATCATAAACCATGCTACATGATATGCACCTGCACTTCACAACATGTTTATTTTATTTAACATTATTGATATCGGGTCACATGAAATGTACACCTAGATTTTGAAATTATGTATCACAACTACGTCATGGGAACAATACCCGTAGATATGATGATTTATTACATTGCACCTAAAGCAAGCTATGAATGCTCATATTTTAAACTAATTTGAAGTTGTAGTCGAGTCGCATGAAATGTGCACCCGAATTTTGAGAATTTTATTATCACCTAAAACCTAGAGACCCAATGAATGTTGTATTTATTTATACTGGTTCCTTTCCTTCCCTATAGATTGGAAGGGACGAGCAAATAACCCATCCATCCTAAACATATAGCACAGAACAAAAAAGAAGTTATCGTTCGCACATGCTTTCCTTTGCAGTACTGAAACAATCACAAGAACATCAAGACTAACTCAAAACAAAATATGTGACACATCATTATCGCTACACCACCTTCACTAACTACAATACTGAAACAATATTGAAACATCAGTAAGCATAAATACCATACTTAGCGGAAGTAGGGAGGAAATAGTGCTACCTAATATCCCTAAAAATTACTACAGATCAATGAAAATAGTATCCCAAGTGATTTAATATGATCTTCAACACCAAGCACAACACACTTGAAAATTTCAGATTTAATAATATAAGAATTGCAGTAAACAAGATAGTTTCCAAGGCATAAAAAAAATCAGAATTAGCTCCTGCCCTCAAACTTGCAACCTAGGCGCTGCCTTGGGCTAGACACTACCCACTGCTATAGAACAAAATCAAATAAAAATAGCATGCCATAACATACCAATTAAACAAAGCAGAATCCCATACTCTAAGCTTCAACAAAACAAAATAATTCAAGTTAACGACAGCTAAAACATGCTTCAAACCACCTTTAATATAATAGAAGATCATAGCAGTAACCAACTAAATTCGAAACGAACATCTTTTGAATTCCTGAAAAATGATTAATACAAAGAGTTGCATTAAAATTGATTAACAGAACCAAGTAATAACTCAATCCAATCATACAAGTTAACCTAGCATTGAGCCATGACTATAGAAGAAACAACATTATTAATCCAAATTTAGAATTAGTGTTCTTCAGACTACCAAACATGGGCATCAATTTATCATTTAAGCACGGTTGCTGCCCTGACAATCAGAGATCAGCCATACTGCCTTTAGCATAACAGAGCATGTTTTAAGATAAACAAGTAATCAACAAGAGACAAACAATATCAAGGAGAATTTCAGCAATTTCAAGCCAGCAAAGCGCATTAAAATGGTCATGAAATCAGAAAACAGGGCACTTTAGTGATTCATGACTCGTTTAGCAGTCCTAAAACTAACCAATTCAAGTCAAACATGTAGAGACTAAGCATTTAGCATGAGCAGACTACTTTGAACATCAAAACATTTCGTGGACAGCAAAAAACACACAGGGAACTCATTTTTGTGAAGTAGCTAATCCTTAATAAAAAATCAGGAAGTCATTGATCGACAAAACTCTTGAAATCAATTAGTCAGGCTAATATGGCGACACTAGTTTAAAAGTCCCAAGCGAATAAGGAAGATTTCAGAAGAATAGGCTAATTAGACTCATAACACTGTTTCAAATTCGATCGGCCATTTTGACTTCCTAAGGACATGCGATCGTTCTTTTGATAGCAGAATAAGCCAAAGAAACACCATGAGAATAAGCATCACAGGTTTATGCTCGTTTAACAATTACAAAGCTGAACACATCGTCCATTTGAAAGCGATGAAATCTTGACTCAAAAGATACTTCGACACCGTAATAACAGTTAAAGCATATAAAGTATAGAAAAACGACCACTCAAATCAACTCTTACTGACTAAACGTACTCAAGCACATCAAACCAGTGAGAAAAGATTCAACAGCAAGAACAACGTATCAAATATCACTTTCAAATATGAATTGAGACTAAATGATAATCCCAAGTTCGACTTCCTCATGAAATTTGATCAAAGAAAAACACCATTCTAGAAACAAATCCCCATGGCTCAATAACACCTTAAAACAAAGGTACATAGGAGAAGAGATTAAACCTGAAATTGCAATCTTCTTTTATAGTAATTATAGAATCAGCAAATACACCTTTGACTCCAAAATCCTAGCAAGGTTCAGTAGCAAACAAGGAAAACAACAGTGGAAATGGATTCGAAACCGACGAGAGCAACAATGAGTCTCCCAATATCCAAACCTAAGCTTAATCAACAGGAAAGCTGGCTCCAATGACTTAAAAACCAACCCATTAGGGTTGAGAACTTGAAGCTCAGCTATAAAACTTCAGACATTTGCCTCGTTTTCCAGAAATTTTCTTTAATAAATGAACAATACCAATTGATTTTCGGTTGTCTTTGTATAAAAATATTCAGAGAAGAAAACTTTTTCTTTTTCCAGATCCAAAAAAAAAAAAATCCCCTTCTCAGAGTGGAATCCTTTCTTTTATAGACATATCCTGAAAAAATAGGGGGATAGTATTAACCTTAAATCAATCCTATGGCTCCTATATCTCCAACACATGCCTTCTAAAAAGATCGACGCGCGATTTTGGTTAGTAGGGGGCGAGTGAAAGAGTGTGTAGTGAGAAGGAATCTTGGGTAGAAGGGCTTCTGAAACGGTTACGGTGAGATGGGCGTTTGGGGCTGGCAATGGCGAACAGAAACAGGCAGGTGGGAGCTGCCCGCCGCGGGCAGGTGTATAGCATTTTTAGGGTTAGGTAAATGATATAAAGATGGAATGGGTAGAGGGTCAAAGGTCTTGGGCCGGGTAAGGGAGCTAGGCTGGCGGATTTGAAGAGAAAAAGGGGTTTGGGCTCAGCAAATCTGAGGCCCAAATCGAGCTCTAAGTCCAAATTTCCCACTCTCATTATTTGACTTAATTTTAATATTAATTAATATTAATTACCAATTACTAATAAATTCAATTGAACCTAAATTAAATCGTAAACAAGCCCTAATAATGAAATCGACTTAATTATCTAATTTTAACACTAAAATAATTAATTGATTTTAGAACTAATGAAAGAAAAATACTAAAACTAAAACTAAAAAAATGGAACAATGTATTTTTTGATTTTTGTTTTGTTGACGTGATTAATTAACAATTAAACTAAAATGCAACTACCAAACTAAGAATGCAATGCATGAAACTCAAATATGTATTTTTGCTATTTTTACGCTTTTAATATATGTAAAATGCAACTAAAATGCAAACAATTAAGCAAATGTTCCTAGAAATTCTATAAAAATTAAAGTAACTTTTTTGTGATTTTGTGGGAGTATTTTGGTCGAGCAAAAATCACGTGGTCACAGGGACATGAAAATTTTATTTCATTATTTTTTTTTGACTCTAACTTGATTCCACAAGAGGGGAGGACAAAGAAATTAGCACAGACTCAAAGGGGTACCAAAGGGTATAAAGTGTTTGGATAGCTGAAAGAAGACCTCCCAATCTCTAAGAATACCAAGAATAACACATGCAACTTGAAGAAAAAATGAAGATCGTGCATAACATTTCTTTTGCAGCATCGGCATTGGTATCACAGATATGCCTTCCACCTTTATTTAGTGCCTCGTCAAGTACAGGGCTCTTTTTGGGAGATTTCTTCTTCAAAATGGATGTTTTCCGTTAGTTTGGAGCAAACTCCCTTGGATTTATGTTGTAACTTGAGATGCACTTGAACTCAAAGTTGCCTGCTTTAAATTATCCGAGGCGCACTTTCTTGTACAAATTCTTGTCGTCCTCTTAACTTCCCAAACCATCTGCCCCAGTTTCACACAATTTGGGCTTTAAGTGATCTCAAAATATCCAAATCTTTACTTATTTCCCTCAAATGTCCCAGCCATCTTCAAAACTTGCTTCATTGTTTCATGATTAGACTAATTTTTAAGACCAGGCTGAGAATTCCACATGTATGTCATGCCACTAGATTCACCATGAAAATAACTATAAAAGAAAAAGAGAATTAAACAAATACCGACTAGAAATAAAAAAAAAAATAGGAGATTGTATTAAACAGACGGTGAAAGGGTTCGAACAACAAAACAAACGAACTAAACTGGGGTTACACCCCTTGAATAATCCTAGATAACACTAAATGAGTTACTATGACTAAATGAACTTGGAAAAATAAAAGGATAAAAGGGTTTGAGCCACAAGACAATATCCGGATTACAACCCTAAAATAAACCGGACAACAGAAATGACAACAAAATAAACTAACAAGACTCTTCCCTGGCTACCCAAGAAAGGAGCATCTTTCCAATCACCAAGCTCAACATCTTAGCCACTGAGTTCTGCATCAACAATACTAGGACCTTCGCAAGTCTCCATCATATTGACCTTAGCAAATTGCTTTTGGGTCCGTTTTACCGGCTCGTTCTTAAGATCAACTTTTGAAACCGAGAGTGATAGCGCTGAAAGCTCTATGGCAAGTGGCCCTCCGAGGATCTCAGAATAGTTCTCATATTCCTTTTCAACACAAATCATACCCACCATATGCGTCTCATTATGACCAGGCAACAGACTTTGGCTAGTGTATACTGCATTTGGATTTTGCACGACAATGTTACCTGCCTCAATAAGCTTCTGAACTGCTCTTTTCAGATGCCAACACTCTTCTATGTTGTGATCCGGGGTATTTGAGCAATATGCACACCTTTGAAAATAATCAAAATTCTTTGGAAGAGGGTTTGACATTTTATTCTGAATCAGCTTCAACATGTCCAATTGCCTCAACCTTTGGAACAAACTGGCATATGATTCTCCTGAAAGTCTTTTCTTTTTCCTGTTGCCTTTTCATTTTGTACTCTGTCCTCGGTTGGAACCTTTTGCGGGTATGTGGTTGATATGTTTGAGGAGGCGGGTAAGATATTTGCGGAAATGGTGTAGGCCATTGCGGGTCCTGTGGATATGGAGCATATGGTGGTGAATTGTGGATGGAGTACTGGGAAGGTAAGGTATAACTTTAGGGATTTTGTAGAGAGAAGTAGCATTGGGGAGGATTATCTGGAGCACAAGGATATTCATGGGGTCGATATTGAGGCTGAAAGCGTTGAGCAGGAATGCCCACTGGATCCTGTCATTGGCGGGGCTCAACAACATCTTTTCTATTTCTCGTTCTTCCACCCAAACTTACTGAGATGTTCTGAATGTCTTCTGTAGTATCTTTCAATGCAGAATAACTCATGATTTTTCCTAACTTGATTCCTTCCTCTACCACCTCCCCCATTTTTACCACACCATTGAAAGGTTTACCCAAGGGCGGGATCAAATGACTGAAGTAGGTGAGCCCCTGAGCTTGTAGGTAAAGCTCAACCATTTCTTCTTCACCAACCGGGGGGCTGACCCAAGTAGCTTGTTCCCTCCATCTGAGCCCAAACTCCCTAAAACTTTCTTTGGGTTTCTTTTTCATCTTTGACAAGGAGGAGCGGTTTGGGATAATGTCTAGATTGTACTGAAAGTGTCGAACAAAATCTTGAGCCATGTCATTCCATGCATGCCACTTCTTGACAGCTTGACGATTATACTATTCCAAGGCTGCCCCACTCAAACTCTCACTGAACTACACCATCAACAAATCATCTTTCCCGCCATCACTTCTCATTTCACTGCAATAATCCCTCAGATAGACTACTAGATCTCCACGCCCATCATACAAGTTAAACTTTGGCATTTTAAACCCCCGGGCAGATGAACATCAAGGAATATACACAAGTCATTGTAAGACATGTTAATCTGATTTCTCATCCCTTACATGCTCCTTAAGAACTGTTTTATACCTTTCATCTTCCTAGATATCTCATCTCACCCTTTTTTTCCTGTAAACTTTTCATTTTCAACATGAGGCTCATTCCTAGGGCTATAATTGTATGAGTCAAGGACCTTGTGGGCAACCTTTGAGGGGTAATATTGGGCATCATAAGTTTTGAATGGGCGTTCATTGTTGGATATATGAAGGGAAGATTGTTGACAAGTTGTGATCGTGGGAATAGTGGATATGACAGGAGGGCAATTTTTGGGAAAGGTAGTTGGAGGACGAGTGATGGAGATACTAGGGTGGTTGGGAAAGCTGTTATAAGCGAGAGAATCTGGAGAGTATGGGGGATCATCTGGCACTATGACCGGTTGGGTAAGGGTAGCATCTAGGAAGCTAGGTGGTGGCGGGGGTGGTGCCTTACCTATTCAACCAACCCATTGTCCTGTTCAACCAATTGCTTTTGGGCACCAGTATCAACCAAATTGATTCTGTTGTCATCTGCCATTGCTGTTCGACTTTATGTTGTAGAGAAGAGTTACCACTTTAAGAACCACAGACCAACCACCCTTCTGCTATAATGAAGATAACAAAGAGGAACAAAATAAAGTCATCATGTTAGTGTTATGACATTTAACATAAGATAATCTCACTTTATGTGCAATGCACCTAGTCACAATTATCGGTTCTAAAATGACTTCGAGGGTACGAAGGTCAGATGCATCATCCCAAATTCATTCTTTTTGTCCCATTTCCTTCTTCATTTTCCTTTCTAGCACTGCTTGTTTTTTTTATTTCCTTTATCCTCTTTTCCTTTGCTTATCGCTCTTTTCTTTCCTCTCATTTCTCACGTCCCACAACTTCATTCTTTTTTTGTCTCTTTTTTTGTTGTTGTTTTATTTAATGCTTTTTATTTAATGATGATTCGATCGAATCCTCATGAATCAGATCAAGCGTAGTTCTAGAAATGTAATAAATTAAAAACAAAATCTTTTGGATTTCATTTATAAATTTTTTGGTTTCAAATACATCATAGGAAGTACGATAATGAGAGACTCGACAAACTCAACTATACTACAAACTCTTGCACCAACTAAAAGAATCAATACTACTGGACACGACTATAAAGTACAAGACAACATAATAAATAGACTCAAAACAAAAAAAAATCTCCTTAAGCAACTCTTGAATGTAGTGATCCTGACTGGATGGTCCTGGGGCGTCTATCATTCTCAAGCTCTGGTAAGTAGATCCACACCTGTATGAGAAAAATAATACCAAATAGAATTAAAGGCTTAGAATACTATGTGAGACAATAACACTCCCTATTGGACCCATGCAAGACATGATTGTGGCTATTTTTAAAAAAAATTAACCTACGTGGCTTATTAGCGCAAACTCATCAAAGGCGACCTCATAGACATGGAAATACCTCACTAAAGCTTATGTGGATTCAAACTCCCAATAATCATGGCCCAAAATTAATTTGCAAAAAAGACCCATTTTGTAAGAATGGCCGATGTGGCCAGAAGTGGCTAAAGATGCAAACTCAAAATGGACGGACCTTAAAGTAATATGACACCTAATTGTGGACTCAAGATTCTAAGACATGGGTCATTGAACCACTTTTGCGCAAATGACCCCATTTTTACAAGTATGGCCGATGTGGCCAAAAGTGGCTAGACATGCAATATTTGGCTAAAACCCCGCGAAGCGAAGAACCTAAGATTTACTAGGAAGACCGGACCCTATGTGGGATGCCTACATATCCTGCCCCGAAGGACAAGAATCAGGCATGCGTAGTTCATGAAGATTGGATATGGGAGAGAATTAAAAAAAACACTAATTTGAAGAAAACATATTTTTTGTCTTTTTTTTTCTTTGAAGAATGATGAAACATGTAAAATCTTTTTGGATTTTCTTTTTCTT